ATAAACAAGCCTGTATAGTGCAAGAATTTCTGAAAAGGTGACTTCATTTTTTTTTGTAAGATGCATTAAAATTTTTTGTCATTAATAGCGAAGGATTACATATTTTCATGTTACATATAAAACATGAAATGAAGAGATCTCTATCCTGGTAGTGAGAAAAGTACTCTGTATAATAGAAAACTACGCTGCGAAATCCTTGGTCCTTCTTTTCTCTATAACTTAAAAAGTCAGCATAGCCAGCACTTGTGTATTTTTGAGGCCAGAAGAATCTTTGCAGAAAGAGAGTTTCTACCTTCACCAAAAGGAAGCCAGACTGTTGGCAATGAAAATGAAGAGGGTTCTGTGGAATTATTTAAACTAACAGATGTGGAGTAAAACCTGCAAGTGTTACAGTGTATCTGTAGCAAGTGATTCAATACTTTCAGATTTCAGAAGCATACACAGTCTAACGCATGCACTGTTACTAGGAATTACATAGTAGGTTGGTTATTACTGACTAGGGAAAAAGCAAGAGGAGGGCAGGATGATGCAATAAAACAGGACGGCACGCACCGTCTATAATAAACGTAACAACTGTAAACATGCCAACATGAGAAGTATAAAAGGAAACTGGAATCAGGAGGCAATTTATTCATGATTGACATGGCTAAACGATGCCAAGATAACTTCCAACTGTATTAGAGGAGCCGTGACTAGTTCCATAAAAAGACGTGAAGAATAGTCTAGCAATCACTACTAGCAATTGCTAGGGACAAGGTCTGAAAAATAAATTCTGTAAACTCCATATTTTTAATTCAACAGAACTATGAAAAAGAAAAGTTGCTATTTTCATGAATATAAACCCAATAACAATAAAATACAACTGTCATAAGGGTAAGATTGCTGCTATACAGCAGCACAGTAGCTACTGCAGAATCTTTGGAAATTAACTACAGTATTTCTTACAACAATTTTTCAAAAACAATTCTATTTTGACCTCTCTTGTCCCAAGTAATACACAGAGGTACAAAGGTGATTGAGTCATTCATTAAGTGACTATAATATAATCAAGTCTAAAATCATTCCCAAGGGCATCTCATACCAGCAGGGGACCTGAAAGTTCACCCACTACTGCAGACAAACTGGGCGGTGGCCGTGAATTACAATTTGTGCATATCTCGCATGTTCAAATAAGGGTGCCTAAATGATTCCAAAAAGCAGTGTTGCTGTTTGCCATTCATTGGATATCTGCTGGGAATTTCTAGATATGCCTAATAAATAATATTGATGGAATCACTAAGTCATCATTTACATAGCTAATAAGAGACACGAGATGTTACCCTACAAGCTCGATTTTGCTCTGGAAACTGCCTTTTGAAAAATCTGATGAGAATTTGCATGCTGAAAATATGTAAATATGGAAATAACAAAATAGAAAAGATTTTCTCTTTATTTTTGAGAAAAGAGGCAGAAGTATTTAAAATTAAATACAATTAAAAGCTTGATCACTCAGTAACTAAAAATGCATTTATCATACATCTATTAATACATAAAGAAAAATTCAATACAAGTGTGTCATTAACTACACAAAGTAAGCTTTAAAATGTAATTTCAAAATAAATCTATAATGATCAAAATATATCTATAATGAGAAGAGGTACAAGCACCCAAGGATAAAAAGAATCTTATCGATTCTTCCTTTGCAGGGCCTTTCACTTCAGTAGAGAACTGTAGTTCAGACCTTCACAGACTCACAGCAGGACTAGTAAAATGAGTGTCTAAGCAGCTTGCCTCAACCACAGTAATGCTCTCATTTCCTGTTCAAAAATGAGAACAAAACAAACTCTCCACAAAACAAACCAAAACAAACTCTAAACTCCTTGGCCTAACAATCCATGTTTCCAAACATATCATCACTAGTCCTCATCCAAAGGGACGTACTCTCCCCCACTTCACCCCCAGACCCAATCACACTAACAGTGTGTCCCTAAATTTCTTCATAATCTTGATCTTCCCAAAGTGTCCTCTCCCTTCCCTTATGCCCATATACCTGAATTCTATCCTCAAAGCCTGGGCACCACACCTTCCTCAGTCATCCAGGCTAGACTCCCTATAGCTGACATCACTCATAAAGCCCTTTGTATACACCATCTCCTAGACATTACTTATTCCGGTATATAAATTACCATTCCAACTGTACTGCAAAACTTAAGGACAATTCTTATACCACTTCTTTATAGTTTAGCATCTTTTACCCAACCCTACCCTCATTCACCACAATGGCCAGCGTAGTATCTTTCCAATGCAGGCGCTCAGGTAGCATCTACTGAGTCAAAGACACATAATAGCAGGGACATATGAAAATTAAAAGCTAAGTATCCCTTAATAATATAAGGACAATTTGGACCAAATAAGACTTTTGAGAAGCTAAATTTTTTTTTTCCTTAAAATTTTGAGGGTCTAGAATCCAAGATGATGGTACTGTTGTTTTCTTCCAGCAGAAACAGTAATGAGTTTGCCCTGGATGTCATGCTTTTCCAACGTGTCCTCAGAGGACCCTCTGCTCACCCCACGACAATTGACTGCAAATGCCTGTTCCCTTGTGTGTCTACACAAGTAGCTCCTCAAAAGCAAAGACTGTTCCGTTTCTGATCTCTACGTATTAGTAGCCCATGTACTAGGAACTCAGTCAATAATTGACCTAGCACCATGATTATCTAAAGTAAACACAATTAAAGAATAACCTTTACTAGGCACATAAATGTTAAGTAAACTTAATTCATGACTGTGCAATTTCAAATAAGACATATGGCCAAAATTCTAAAGACTACATTTATATGGGTATTAACCACAAAAATGAACACACAAACGTCAAGAGAAATCCTATGTGGACATACGTGTGTGCATGTTCTTGATTTTTATACATCACAGACCATTTCTAGAAGAAAGCGCAATTTTGGAGAGGGAAAATGAGGGAATACAGGGGATTTTTCTACTTTCCACTCTTCTCTATTGCTTTTTTTTAAAACTATGGAACATGTATAACTTTCAAATTAATTCCTCCCCACATACACAAGGAGCAGTCTAATGGCAGTTAAAATGTTTTTTTATATGAGTAGTGTACCATTAGAGTAAACAAATAGAAATTTTAAATGTTAAGAGCTGAGCATGAAAGAAAACACAGACAATGAGGTTTTGGAAGTCCAAAGAGGAGATTTTGTTGTTTGTGGCTTAATTCCTGTATTACAATAGACAAACTCCTTAACTGTATTTCCTAATTTAAATTCTCCTTTCATCTACGTGTCCAACACTCCCATATATGTAAGGATAGAATTACCCAGAGGCATAATCCATCCTTCCAAGTAGTAAAAGGAGACAATAAAACTCTTTTCCCAAAGTACAAAATAGTAATAAGAAAAGCTTCTCAGATGTTCAATAAAAAGAAGCAAATTTTCCTCCACAGTGACTTGAACTAAAATGCACTTAATAAGTAAAGTGCTCAGTCCTCATAACAGAAAGTATCCACTGAAAAACATCTAGGCATCACACATCTACCTCCCTCCCTTTTGTCAGAGTAAACAAATCTGGTCTTCTGTGGGAGATTTTAAACCACGTGACATAGGTCTCTTGGGGTCGCTTGGGGGCTGGATCTTCTATCTTGATATACCAAGCTGCTAAAACAATTTAGCAAATAGTAGCTTCTTAGTGGCCATTAGTTCAATGAACGACATTTCCTCAAACAGTATACACTGGTAGAAATCAACAGAATAATATAGCTCTGATAACTAAGGAAATAATAGTTTCTGTACCCATTAGATGGCCATTTTTACTTTAAAAAATATCTTAGGGGCCATCCCAGTGGTGTAGTGGTTAAGTTTGTGCGCTCTGCTTTGGTGGCCCAAGATTCACGGGTTTGGATCCCACCTGCAGACCTACACACGGCTCATCAAGCCATACTGTAGTGGCATCCCACATACAAAGTAGAGGAAGACTGTCACAGATGTTAGCTCAGGGACAGTCTTCCTCAAGCAAAAAGAGGAAGATTGGCAACAGACGTTAGGGCCAATCTTCCTCACACACACACTATATATCTGTGTGTATATATATATATATTAAAAAGATAAATGATAAAGGCCATCTTGATGAAATGACTCCAAATCCAGTTTAGTTTTATACCAGCCCAGGAATCATCTCCTGTGTTATTCTAATGAACTGCAGGAAGTTTGATGTGACACCCTTAAAGAAAAGGATGGAGGCAGGTGGTCCCAGGATATCGGGAGTGGGGGATCCCCAGTGCTGTCCTACTTCCTTCAGGCCAGGAGAGAGTTGTGCACACAACTTGACCCAGTCTAGTTTCTATAGTTCAGTAACTAATCAGAAAAATAATTTTTCCTTCCAAGAATCAGGACTCGTCTTTGTACCTTGCAGTGTTTCTGGAATACCTCCTCTGAGTCTCATCAACTCACCACCTTGCAAAGATGAGAAGAGAGTAGCTTTTTCTACCACTCCTGACATCTGGAAGACCCTTTCTATTTCATTCCTCCCCATAAATAGTCCATCTGTGCTCAAATCTCAGGATGAAATGCGTCCTTGATCCTTTGCCTCCACCTCTTAATTTCCTTCTACTTCAGTTCCTATCCTAAAATTCAATTTTTCTACATTAAGCTCTCGTTTTCCATCTTTCACTATGCTGGCTACATCTTTCTGGTTAATCATTGTGGGGAAGACATATAGGATCAATCTCTTTGAAATAACAGAGTTATGGTTCTGACCACAACTGAGACTCTCATGACCTTTATATAAAAGCAATAAACCACAAGATCACTTCAAATTTTTACTAGCACAGTTATTTTAAAGGAAGAAGAGGAGGAAGAAGATAGTTTTAGAAAGCTTTCTAGATTTATAGAAGTTTTAAATTTATTAAAACCAGATAATTAATTCCAAACAGTTTTACTACTTCCTCAACGGTGAGACCAAATCAGGTCACAGAAAAGAAAGATGAAAAAGGGCAATGCACCTACCTGAGGGTATGGGGAAGTCCTGGATTTTGACTTTGAGCTGGAGAGCCTAGGCTTGGCCCCCTTCCTGCTGTCAGTCATAGTAGGAGTGGAGCTGCTGGCATAGGAGAAGGCTGGTTTGGAGGCTGAGATCTGATCCAGAGAGAGTTGCAGCCCTTTGTATTCCGTGTCCCTGCAGGGTGGGAGGACACAGCCCTTAATCAGCCACCACAGGTAACGGATTCCTGCGTTCTCTCACCAGGAATGACAGTAATCCATATTTGAAAGGGAAGCAAGCAAAAGTTAGCCATATATCTGGTTCCTACAAACACCTCAGTTATTTTAGAAATGCCTAACGTTTAACTAACGTGTGTGAATGCAGCTGCCACATATACCACAGCCAAATTATATGATATGCTCAAGAAAATGTTTCAATTAAAAAATACATCTTTCATTATTTTTATAAGTAGAAAATAAATCCATAATTCAACTTCACTGCACTTTTGTTTCCTCACTGTTGAGATATGGATTATAAAACCTACTCTAAAGATTTCCCACGTGGGATGAACTCAACAGACAACTGGCCATCTGATTTATCTGATTATTGGCAAGAAGAATGTCTTTTATCAGCTGTTTCAAGATCAATCACTCTGGTAAACATTCCAAATATTCTTATAGCTAGCAATCTAGTGTAATCAGGCTTATAAGTAGTTAAAAATCCCTTTCAACAGGCTGACTAATTCAGTTACCGTAGAGTACATTTTAGCACCAGTTCTTTCCATTCCTTTCTTCATTCAATAAATATTTAAACTGCTAATATATATATCGGACTATGTGCTACGTGGAGATGAAAGGATATATAAGACACTTAGAGCCTCTGCTCTTGTGCAGAAGACAATATGTTTGGGAGAAGAAACAATAAATGAATAAACAAGCATAATAACTGCAGGCTGTGATTTGAAGGGGATAAAGGGTGCATCTTCGAGAGTTCATTACAAAGATTTTGCTTGAGGTATTTAGGGACTAAAGATGAAAGCCTTGGCCCTGCCCACAGCTACCACCTCAGCCCTCTTCCAGGCAGTAGGGCATTGGTCTGACTCCTCCCTTTTCATAAGAGGATATCAACCCTTCCCACTGGCAACCAAAATAAAATGTTTCAGGGTCTTCTTTATGTGGACTCACGGGAGAATTTTCTCTCAGGTTCCAGAACTAGCTGGGCTGCTCCTGAGTAATCAATTTCTTCTTATCTCACAAACACTGTAAATCATATAACTCATCATGTCTCCCTCTTTGCACCAGAAGTCAAAAAGCCCCCAGCCCCCATCCCATTTGCAACCACCTCTAGCAAGTGCCCAAGTCCTCATGATAGGTATTCTGTGCAACAAACTCCACTGACTTCCTTTATGTTTCTTTTTTTATTTTTCCTTTTCTATACTGGGTTCATCTTTGTTAAAAGTGTATATGCATTTTTTAATATTCTTTGGATTAATACAGGTATATGAAATGCAATAAATGAATGATATTATATATGTAAAAGTGACTGGCAGATTTCCATGGGTTAGCAAATATTCATTTAACTTCTTTTCTTTTCCCTATTGGTTCTCTACAGAGAGATCAGGCAAAAGCAAAAGTATAATTCAGTCAAGAAGTCCCTCAAGTGACTAGAAATAGAAACCAGCTCAAACAGGTCCAATACTATCACTTACACAAACTACAATGTAGTACTCCATATCAGCACATTAGGATGGCTTCATATCAAATAGTCCATCTGCTCAGTGCGAGTTAAAAATATACCCAAATTCTCCTACATGAGCAACAAAAACTTAGAAGGTGGGCAGGCAATTTGTCCTTCAGGCTGGGGAAGTCTGGTGACGTCACTGGTCTGCTTCACTGCTCTCATCAACTCCTTCTAAGGACAACATACAACACAGACTCTGAGCCCTCCCCCATCAGAAATTCAGGGCCCTCCAAAGTGTGACTCCTACCTATTCTTCTGACAATATCTCAAAATTTTCCTTCACCAGCCCCTCACTTTATCCAAAATAGTTCTCTCCAAACTGATCTTATACTTTCCTGACTCTCTCCCTCTCCCAACATGTACCTATAAAACTCCTCTTGGGGCTGGCCTGGTGGCATAGTGGTTAAGTTTGCCCACTCTGCTTCGGTGGCCTGGGGTTCTTGGGTTTGGATCCTGGGCGGAGACCTACACACCACTCATCAAGCCATGCTGTGGCAGCGTCCCATATACAAAGTAGAGGAAGACTGGCACAGATGTTAGCTCAGGGGCCATCTTCCTCAAGCAAAAAGAGAGCAAATCTTCCTCACACACAAAAAAAATCCTCTTATAAAGAAATATCTTAAATCCCACTCACCCCACGAAGCCTTTCCTGACTGCTAACCCACTCAGGCCTTTAATACACATTGACTGAGTGTCTCCATGAAGACCCTGTTCCAGGGGCTGGGAAGACAGCAATGAACAGAAGGCTAAGTCTCAACCTTCATGAAGAATGCAGCAGGGCCAGTTCCTGAGGGAACCAGAAACTATCTTTTCCTCCTCTAAACTTATTTTTCAAGTGATTATGTCTCACCCTTCCCAGAGGATTCTAAGTTCCCAGAGGACCAGAGTCACGAGATATTTTGTTATATTCCAATGGCCATTTGCACTATATTTCACATAGATGGGAGAGGAAGAAGATAAGGATGCAACCAAAAAAGGATCGTTTTCTCCAATTGCATCCCAACAGCCTTTCTCCACAGGAAAAGACCCCCTTGGGATGTGAGTCTCCTGACCCACCTGCCCTGAGATTGCATGTGTGTGAGAGTGAGCCAGGCAAGCTGGGATCTGAAGCAGGTGGAGCCCCCACCCTTGGGCATCTCTTGAGTCAAATGGACTTCTTTCCACTGAGCAGCAGAGTATCCATTCAGTCCCTGCCTGACAGGATATAGACTGACAGCAAAAATCATGCACCCCTGAAAATATGGCCAAAAACTTTGTAAACTCATTCCTAATGCAACTTTTCAGCCCAGGGACTTCACGGCTACAAGCGGAGAGTAAAAAAGGATTCATTTTTCTCTTGCACACTTTCAGACCCCCAAAGTATGTATCTCAACTACTGAAAAAGTCTTTGCAAAATTTTTGCATAGCTTCCAATGACAGAAATACTCCAAATTAAATAGGCTTAAATAAAATTTCAAAACCAATAAATGGTTTGAAATTCTCCATCTTCATATGAACACTCTAATAAATGTAAGAGAAGTTATACAATACTCTTGATACATTAATAAAAATATTAACGTTTTGGTGCACATCAAAAAATACAAAAAGAATTCACCAAAATTCAGCAGAAGACCATGAAGTCAGGTAGATCAGGGTTGGAGCCACTTACTGTGTGACAACCCTTCCAGAGATCAATTTCCTCCTTATAACTCATATAGTGAGGCTTAGATGAAATATTACATGAAAAACTCTTAGCACAGTGCCTAGAACAGTAAATGCTCAATAAAGAATAAGTGTTATTTCATAACATCCACACTTTGTGGCAATTTTTGGCAATTGATTTCCCCAGCATAATAGTTTTACTTTGGTAGTGATTTGTAATGCATTTCATTACAAACATCTCCCTATGCGGTATTTCTTTCCTTTCTACCCCAAACTCATTTTAATTTGCTCTATTACTTTTTAGCCTCTCAAATCTACTGTAGTATGGCCAAAATACTTATTACGGTAAGTTCTTTATTGCTAAGTCAGCAGATGGGGACCTTAGAGCAACACAGACCGGACACTCTGAGAGGAGTTCGGCCTTCCTGTTTCTCTGTTCAAAACTCTAACAGTTCAAAAGATGTGTTAGGATGAAAAGCACAGTAAAAAAAAAATACCCAAAGACATTTCAAGTATGGTTGATGTGCTGCCAAGAGCTCTGAATGGCAGAATCACTGAGAACAAAGCATTTGTTTTACTTTTAGAATTCTATTAAATTGAGTATTTCATTTGTAGAGATTAAAGGGCTAGCTGCTGATTGGAATCACATTACAAGTTCCATTTTCCTCCTCCAAACTCAGACACAAAGAAGATTCTGGCTCTACCTCTCTCCCTTCCCCACAGTGAGGCATGTTCTGGTATCACACACATCCTCTAAGTTAGGTCTAGGCATAGCAAAGCCTTTCAAGGCTTCCCTGTGGAGGCGGACAAAATAAAATACTTGGGCGCACAGAACTTAGACTCTAAAATGAGTGCAGCAAGGAATTTGACTTAGCTGACTTTAATAAAGGAGGGACACAGCCCGGCTCTACTTCTAAGCAGCTTTCTTGAAAAGTGCCATATAGACCATGTTTGTAACTCCATAGGTAACCCTCTTAAGGGCAGCTCATGCTGTTCTCCCAGAACAGCACATGATAGGCATATCAAAAGAGGAACTGTAGCATATGTTATTGTGCATATTTTTCAAAATGGCTATTGATATCAATTTAGATTTGTTTTGTTTTGTTTTTGGTGGGGTTTTTTTGGTGAGGAAGATTGTCCCTGAGTTAACACCTGTTGCCAACCTTCCTCTTTTTGCTTGAGGAAGATTGTGCCTGAGCTAATCTGTGCCCATTTTCCTCTACTTTGTATGCAGGATGTCGCCACAGCGTGGCTTGATGAGCAGTGTGTAGGTCTGCGCCCAGGATCCGAATCTGCAAACCCCGGACCACCAAAGTGGAGCGTATGAACTTAACCACTATGTCACCAGGCCAGCCCCTACATTTGTTTTTTTCCTCCCTTTAATGACTTGAACCAGAGCTGCAGACATCCTCAGGTACCTCAGCTCTGAAAGTAATGTGAAATGGGTAATTTGCAACCACTGGGACTTGCAGTTTGTCAATCTCACTCATATTTGCACAGACCAAAGTAATCCTCTTATTCCATTATGGACAGTCAGAAATCATCCAATTTGCAGAATTAACCATCTGAGTCTACTCTAAATTTTATAATAGTCATGTACATATTTGGAATTACTCAAATTCCAACAGAATAAGAGGGGCCATTTTTGTATCATCGGCCGCTTCAGCCTTCCCTGAAGCAATAAGCCACACGCACTCACGAGGTAAATGCCAACTTTCTATATGGGGAACTCAGGGTGACACCCTTACAAAGCAAACGAAGGTGTCTTCACTGCTCAAAAGTACTGTCAGCTTCAGAGAAATGCATCAATATCA